CGCGCCACGCCTCTGCCCGCCTCTCGCCGGGAGCCTCAGGCAGGGGGCGTGGCCACACGGGGAAAGGGGTGGGCAGGAGGCCGCTCGCCCCGCCTACCGCCAGGACCGCCCTCCGCCCGCCGCTCTCCCCGGGAGGCGTGGTTGAACCTGGCCATCTAGCTGGACCGGGGGAACCGGGTAGGGGAGCCGGTCCCCAGCGCTCCGCCTCCGGCGCCAGCCACTGGGGGCGGGGCGATCTCGGGCCACACCCACCACTACCCCTGGCTCACCCCTCTCTCTGGGCCTCCAAGTCCACCTGGGACACACACTGTGTCCCTGGGCTCCCGGAAGCTGCAAGGGGAGAAATGAAGGAGCACAGGGTGGGTGTGTGGGTGGGACACTGTGTCACTGTCTGTGTGCCCGTGTGATCTGGGTGACCGTGAGCCACCCGCAGGGACAGCATGATCGTGGTTGACTCCACGTGGCACCTGCGGGGAACACCAAGTTACAGGGTGAAACTGCATGTGACACCAGCGCTGAGGCTGCTCTTGCGTGACCTTGGCGACACAGTCGGTGACACTGTGTGTCGGTCTGTGATGCTGGGACACTGGGGATATGGTGTGAGGGTGGGACATGTGCGAGGGAGGTATTCGATGGAAGTGTGTGGCCCCCCCTTACGCAGGGATGGTGTGTGACACCGCGTGTGTCAGGTGAGTGTGACACTGTGGTACGAGCTGAGTGTGTGGCTGTGGGTGCTACTGTTGTTTTGATGCTCTCCTGGCCTCTGGAGCGTGTGTGACATGTGTGATGTGTGAGCGTGTGCCAGGACACACTCACATGTGGCCCCATGTGAGTGTGACAGGTGTGGCGGGTTTGAGTGTGTGAGAGGGCGTGACAGGTGTATGATGTTGACGCTGCCGTGTGAGCATGTGACACTCTCTGTAACTCCATGGAAGCGTGTAACCGTCCATGCCATAGCGTGCTTTGTGTGACTGCGCGTGGATGGTGGAGCACGCCTTGACTGTGTCACAGTGTGTGACGCTGTCGTGCACTGTTCCGCTGTGGAACCCAGTGGACGCGTGTGACTGCGTGTGACAGTTCACGTGTTTGACCCCGCGCGACCCTACCTGAGGCGACGGCCCTATGTCAGAGTGGGGATGGGGATGCTGGTGACGCTGTGTGACCCCCTGTGTGTGGCAGCGTGGGAGTGTGTCACTCCGTGGGAGTGTGACTGTGTGTGACGCTCCCCCGGCCCCCGCAGGTGCAGCGCTGTCTCAGCCGTCGCC